ATTCTACAGGCCCAGTGTATACTGAGAGGAATGAAAAACTCGAATTCATGAAGAAACATGATATTGATATCTCGATAGTCAGGTGAGTTCAAAGTTCAAGTGCTTGGTCGCTCCATTCATGCGTCTATAGCACTGCAAATCCATGGCTCGACTTTCTATCCGCTAAGGAGGCTCATTCCATGGCCCTAGAACTCAATGATGACCTGGAAGAATACTGCTCGACCGGCCCAGCCCTTACTGGCACATCGATGCGGCAGTTGTATGGATTTGGTTTACTTCCGCTCGTCCCTGAAATTACTACCGAATCGCTTCTCGAGGCAGTAAAACAAATTGCTGCTTCGGCGCATCTCAAAGGTCTTATCATGGGTACCCTCGGAGTAGGAAAAGGCTTGGACGACGAAGCACTGGATCCAGTTTGGGATGCAATAGAAGCTGCGGGCCTGGTTGTGTTTATACATCCACATCATAGCATCGTCAATTCAGAAACTTGGGGGCCGAAACAGAACGGTCATGTCCTTCCGTTGGCTTTAGGCTTCCCTTTCGAGACTACGGTTGTGAGTGATAGATATCAGTCCGGAAGCTGAATGTGAATGTTGAAAGTGAACTAGGCCGCTACACGTATCATCCTGTCAGGAGTGTTTGACCGTTTCCCGTCTCTGCGGTTACTGCTCGCGCATTCAGGAGGCGCACTTCCTCAGCTCTCATCACGATTAGCGTCATGCATAGATCACGATCCAGTGGTTGCTTCAAGGCTAAAACATGATGCTCGCTTTTACCTCGGGAAGCTGTACCTGGATGCAGTGTCCTATGGTCCAGAAGAGCTTGGGTTCGTCGGTGATGTTCTGGGTCGTTCCAACCGTTTCGAAGCCGGTAGCAGTAGCACTGCGTCGGGCGACCGAGTAGCAGGAAGCAAAAGAATGCTGTTTGGAACAGATCATCCATTCTTCCCTCCGCTATCATCTTCAGAAAAGTGGAAGAGTGTAGTCGAGAACTTGGATGCAATTGAAAATGTGAAGGGTTGGACAGAGGATGACAAGGACGGTGTTAGAGGAGGCAACGCTATATCGTTGTTCAATCTATAATTACAATGATTTGGGCTTCTGTATCTTGAGACTGAAATCGATATGCTGAACAGACTGGTGAACAACGCTCGTGCTCAGTATATCAATTTCTAATGGAAATATTCATCAGTTCCATTCAAAATATGAAGCTTGACCACTTACCATTAATCGCCCGTTCTTGCAGATTCGTCTCGGTGATATTACCACTGGTCTCAAACGAGAACTTCCTCTGGCCTTTCCATTTCTCCTTTAACCTCCTAGCAACTGAAACAAGCTCCGACCCCTCGATGTTATCAAGCATGATGATATCAGCCCCAGCATCAATTGCTTCGTCAGCTTCAGCTTCAGATTGCACTTCTACGTCGAGGAGTAGACTGAATCCGCCGACTGTTCGTGCTTGCTTGATGGCCGCAGTAATCGAGCCTAGGGGACAATCAATCAGTGTTGATTTGGAAAAATAGGAGACAGGATATGCCTGAAGACCAGATGTGATTATCTTTGAGCATGATCATGCTCGACAGATCTTGGCGGTGTGTGTCGATACCACCAACGAGCATGCCGTATTTCTCCACTAGTCGGAATCCTAGCCATTACTTATTGGACAGCGTTCCAATAGATATCAAACGAGAAGAGTACCGGGTGTTGTTTTCCTAGTTCCTGCTATGATTCCTTCGTAACCGTATCCCCGCGCAAGGTCCTTGATCCTCTTCGATCTGACTGGATTTAGCACAAACGCAATTAACCAAACCACTGAGCTTACTTGGTTGCAATTCCACTACAACGAGCAAGCAGATTGAGCGCAACACGCTCTCCGAGGAGCAATAGTCTTGCTTTGCCTCGAACCGTAGCAACATGCTTGACTGGCTCGAAAGTATCACCTTCTTTTATATGCCATTCGACTCTTTTTGTCTATGATCAGAGCCAGAATTTGAGGTATTCGAGTGTGCAGATACTTACGAACATCCAAGCTGAGTAAAGACCTCGGTGAAAAAGGGGGCTCCGGCTAAGACGGCAGGCGTTTTTCCTTTTCCAAGGAGAAATGCTTCTCGTTCAGCATCTCCAACGACGTAGCCTCCATAGTCAAAAGACGGTATATCCTCGGCAAGCCAAGCAGCGACCTGAGGTTTCCAGCTTGGGGGAAGAAGATGTTCGAGGGAATTCGACATGACAATTAGGTCAGAGTTGTATTACTGTACATTACAATTATTTACAATTTATACCCATCAATATCGACACTATAACTTTCCGTATGTTCGTCAGGAAACGATCTAGCTCTAACAGCTTCAGCGTATTTCTGGATAGCTGAATCGCGTTCAGCTTTAAGATTACCGAATCTCCGCACAAATTTGGCTTTATGACCCGCCCAAGTGCCCATCAAGTCGTCCCATACAAGGACCTGAGCAAAGCGTAAGTAATGCGTCGAGAACATATAACAAACTTACTTGACCATCCGTCTGCGGGCCAGCCCCAATCCCTATAGTAGGGATCCCCAGTTTTTCGGTGATATACGAAGCCAATTGCTTTGGCATTGCTTCCAACACAATTGCAAATGCCCCAGCCTTTTCCAAAGCCAATGCATCCTCAATAATCCTCTTCGCACTTTCCACATCCTTACCCTGTACCTTGTATCCAGACATTGAAACATGCCGTTGCGGGAGTAGACCCACATGAGCCATTACAGGAATTCCCATTCCAGCCAGTTTTCGTACACTATCAGTAATCTCTGAACCTCCTTCAAGCTTCACGGCTTCTATATGGCCTTCTTGTATTAATCGGACAGCATTTTTGGCAGTGTCCTGGAGCGAAACGTGGTAGGAGCCAAAAGGCATGTCTGCAACGAGAAATGGATGTGTGGTACCTCGAGCAACGGCGCGCGTATGATGGATCATTTCTGAGAGAGTGAGCTCGGTAGTGGATTTATACCCGAGACAGACTTGGGCGAGAGAATCGCCGATAAGAGTTATGTCGACGAGTGGATTAGACGAACAGGCGAGCGCACTAGGATAGTCGTATGCAGTGATCATGGTAATCGGCGTCCTGGTTTCTTTCATGGCTTTCAATTTCTGGATGGTGACCTTTTTCCTCGGCTTATCTGACAAGATGGTTATAGTTCCTGAAAGCAAATGAAAGGAGAAACTTACTTGGAGATAGCTGGGCAGATTCCGAGGGCCCGTATACACTCATCATACGCGAGGCATGGATATTTCGGAAATGAAGAGCCTTCGCCAGAGCACGACACGCCATTAAATAATAGGTGCTCAAGATGCAAGAGGGCTGGGTTTTTATGGTCTCATCGTAAATTGTTTATTCCCCAGGGCGTGATTCTCAGGATGGTACGAGAAACAAGACGGTCAATCGAAAATGCTGTGCAAATCCCGGCTACATCAATTCCGATATCGATGCGAGCTCTAAAAAAAAAATCTAAAGTCGATTACAGTTTGACAAGACTATACTATCGGGTTCGTACATGTGGGGTCAACAAAGTAAGGACAGAAATCACAGTACCAACCTATTATCAATGTCTATGTGGGCAAAAGGCAACTCAAGAAAAAGAGCAAAAAGTCCGTTCATGCCAATCCTTAAACGAGGTAGGCCGCGACCAAAGCAACCCCGAAGAGTCCAGCCTGAGCACTGACAGCAACAGCACCATTGCTACCCATCGTAGCAAATCCGGTGGTAGCGGTGTCAGTTGCAGAGCCGGCGTTGGTACCCGCAGCGGAATTGCCCATCACAGTCGTTCCTGGCGCACTTGATGGTTTCATGAACAAAGAGGACCTTCGGGGAAACGAAATAAAAGCTCACGGCGTTGCGTTCCCGGTGGAAGAGCTAGATGAAGAAGTAGTATTCGCCTGCGTAATGTTGAATTCATTGCTTTGAGCTACACGAAACGAAAATGAGCAGTTAATAAGATAGGAAGAAGGAAATCATACCTAGGATCTGTGAATCCGTAGTATTCGCAATCAAGTTGACGCGGTATGCGCCGCCAACCTGTTAAGGGAGCGGGTAAACAAAGTGCGAAGGAAGACAGCGAGTTGGTATCATCATACCGCAGGCCAACCTCCGGACGGCGGGTTCAGAGTGGTATTTCCAAGTGTACCGTCAACTTGAGCAGCGAGAATTTGAGGAGAGATAGTAGAGCCCTGCAAAAAGAAAGTCAGGACCAGATATTGTCTACGAAAAAAGGACGTACGTCGTTGACAAGAACAGCAGTAAAGTTCAGGGGATCTGTGTCAACGCGGGTCCACACCAAACTGGGTGGTAATGGTCAGAAAGAAAGGGAGCAAATTGCAAACGACCTACAGTTGAGGGCCCGAGTTAGTCCATCCCTGGGCTGCGTTTGGGGAGCTCACGGAATAAGCATAGCCAGAAGCAACATATGCGAGGCAAAGGGCGAGGGTAGAACGCATTGTGAAGATGGAGGAAAGGGAAAGAAAGTACTCGTTCACGGGCAAGGACCTAGGTGAAAGTCGAAAGGAAAGAACGGTTGGCCTTTTAAAACGCGACTTGTATTATAGTAAACGTTAATTCGCACGTGGGATTTTGACCATTGGCGTGCAGCTTGAATTTTTTTTTAGAAGTCAAATTACGAGAGTCACACGCAGGTTTCACGGCGTACTATGTCCTCGTCAACGGGGATCCAAACTTTTACCCAGCCGATGACCTTTTATCCAGTGTATGAACCATGTATCAGCGCTCGGCATCCAGCTAACCAGCACGTTCATGGCCAAATGAGTCCATCTAGACGGGTTCAAGTCCGTTCGAGACAACGTAAAACATCTCAATGAACAGGAACAGGAACACTCCGATTATGAGGAGCATAAATGACGTGAATAGTCAAGTACGTAGTACATACATACATTTCTACATTTCAACTGCTTTTTCCTCAAGTAGAAGCCTATGAAAAGATATTAAGTAGGATTCGGTGTTAGTTGTAAAGAAGGCGCTATAGCCAAGTGGTTACGGCGACAGATTAGAATGAGCTTTTCGCATCTTGATCTGTTCCTCTTTGAGGGCGCAGGTTCGAATCCTGCTGGCGTCGATGGAGGAACTTCAGCAATTCAGACGTGGTTGTTTTGCACCCCTTACATAATTTATGAGTTTGTGTTCAGGGTGGTTATAAGTAAACCCGGTACATATTATTTGACTAGTACATATCAAGCAACGACTACGCTCTTCAGCATATCCTCTGCATCCATCCACAAATCAAGTTGTCCCCACGTCCCAATCACAACCGATATTATCATCCAACACGAAGCTTCGTCATTTGCCTCTTCCTTCATAGCCGAATTTACGCTGTTTGCTCCAGAGTTCCGTTCAGAGATTATTACCTTCAACAACGCAATGCACGCCCGGGTAAGATTCCGAAGCATGTTCATATCGTCCGCAGATACATGTTCTTCGACTCGAGTAAGCAATGTAAAGATCCATTGGAAATGAGTTTGTGCGAGTCGAGGAAAAGGTGGCTGTCGCTCGTCCACGAGATGTTGGTTTATCCAATATGCAAAATACATAAGGAGATGCAAGGCCATTCGCTAAAAGAAAGAAAGAGTCAACTGAGATCCATGTATCAAAAGACTAGCGCACCTGATCTATCTGGCCTATAATTGATGGTGTCGGTGTTATAGGCTTGCACACCGGAGGCGACTCGGTTTCAGCATTGTCTTGGTCCCCAGATAATGGAGACGAGGGATCCGGAGGACATGGCTCAGTTTCTTGAAGCGAATCCGCAGGTGGTGGGTTGTAGTTCAAAGCAGAAGAGTCATCATCGAAACCACGCATACCCCGTCCGTATTTTTTCTGTTTCAAAGCTTTTGGTTTCTTCGGAGGATTCCAGACAGATTCGGGCTTGCCTGCGAGGTAATCCCACCATGCTGCCCTGTCTTTGATGTCAGGCATGCGTATCTTGCTGCTCGAAGCGGCTGTATCTATGGGTTGTACGACGTTCTAATAGGAAGAATTAGAAAACGTGCCGATAATTAATACAAACAGGAAGCTACTTGCCTTGCGCAGGTTCTTAAATCTAATCTCGAATAAGGACCGCCATTCTGCAGATGGGAGTGACGGATGAGTTGTTTCGAGATTGCGAGGAGGAGGTAGCACAGGCTCTGCTGTTTGATAGGGATTTTCTACTCGAGTAACATGTGGAAGGGAACGAGCATCTCGTCTGCGAATCGAAATCTAATCAGTTGCGAGGAATAATGAAAAGAAGAAAAGTCGAATACCTGACGGTGAAAAGATATTCCATTCCATCGCTGGGTTCTCCATCAAAGTTTTCCGAAAGATTAGCTACAGGGAGAATCTGTCTTCCAAATGAGGGTTCTTCATCATCAGAATCATTAATATCGCCTCTTTTTCGTTTGAGATTGGACATTTGAGGCAAATAATTCTTTTCAGTCAATGGTCATGGCGGTACCGGTAAAGGTTATGTGGCGCTTATTCATTTCCTTTTTACTACAACCGTCACCTTCAATGGTGTAACCCCTTGTATCCCCCTGAAAATTTTGATTATTGTCTGGAAACCATGGCTGAAGAAGAAGATGTAGACCTGGAGGCTCTCCAAGCCCAAATTGATCTTTCCATGTCGGTCGCCAATGACCTCGCTACTTCATGGATAAAACCGGCAAACAAGCCAAAACCATCTTACAACCAAAATCTAGAGGCAGAGCTCAAAGAATATATGCGTAAGCCACCGAGGTAGGTATGTACTCGCGTTCGCATTTAGAGAAATGTTTTTCACATTTACTAGACTCGGAGTCGGTGCTTCTATACCCGAAACCTCGTCCTCAGGTTCTTCTCGAGAAACGGCACGGTTAAAAGGACATCTAGTTGGTAAAAAACGTGCTAGGGAAGAGGAAGGGGATTCCTCCATAAACAAGCTTCTGATGATGAGGGAGAGAGTAGAGCTGGGGCTATTCGAAAGAAACCGATACCTAATCCTTTCGTTATGCCGGCTCCAAAGAAGAAAAAGGTCGATGATGAAATCACTTTGTCTTTGCAAAAACCCGGTGAATCTCCGACGTCGATGTCTCCGGACGAGGTCGGACATCAAAAGAAAAAGAAGAAGAAACGAGCAAAAACTGAAGAAAATGCGCTGCTTCTCCTGGATCAAACTCCTAACACTGAGATTGTATCGCAAAGCAAACTTGTGCCCGAAACCGGTGAAACTCCAGGTACGAGCTGTTTCCGTTTATTTCCTCAAACCCTTACCTATACCGCATGTCCAGGAACTCCTCAGCATGAGAAATTATCTCCTCATGTTACCCCAGACCAATCTCACCGCCATAGGCTCCCGTCCGATCCATTACCTTCGGTGTTGAATCTCAACGGTCCAGTTGGGGAGGACAAGTCTGATTCCGATGATGCTCATACATCACCATCTCGGCATAAAAAGAAGCGGAAAAGACGAAAGAAGAAGAAAAACCATGCTGGTCTTGCAGAATTCCCGAAATCTTGATGCGGTATGTCTTTTTGTATCGCATTCTAGAGGATACTTAAGTGCGCCTGCAGGCACGTCGATTGCATACACCTGAACCGTTCCAGAACGATCTAGCAAATACTAAATCTATTTTATGTTTGTTTAAAGCAAAGCATCATCGATTATATCCTGTCTTTCACAGGTCAGAAAGCATACAACAATAATATCGATTTCCATCAATCTCAAGGGGTGTACACTTTTTCCTCGCAATCATCGTAAAATGCAGCTCGCCTTGCCCACGTACTCCGTATCGCGATATCTCCGAGCAGTCCGAATTCCAAGGGAGTGCCAATGAATTGGAGCCTTTGTGTTATGCTCACAGCGTAGGTGGAGATGGTTTCATTTAAGCCGAAGGGATCGACCGTTCCCAGACTGCCCTTGGATATGAGAACCATTACGATGAAACACGCGAGCCAGCCCAGTGATAAAAGACAAGCGAGGACTGCAGCTTCTATTGAGATCATTCCTTTCGTCCCTGGTCTGTTGTGTGCAAGGAAGATCAATGGGACATGAAAGAAGATTGTGAGCAACCCGGTAATTGGGTTCATGTAAAACTGTGGTTAAATCAGCCTCTGAAACGTCATAGGCAAATGAAAAAGGCTCACGGAAAGTGTACCATAATCGAATAAGGACGTAACCGCGATGGTAATGCTTGTGAACAAGGAGAGGTAATGTAACCAGACCAGAGAAGTCGGGAAAGGTTCATAAGACCCGGGCATACCAGGATTTGTTCTGCGGCCTGCGCAGAGAACAAGATCAAGCCTGGGGTGAACGAAAAACCCAAGGCGTTTTACTTAAAGAGACTAGATGTTACTATGTCAACGTGTGATGTGTGTGCAAGGGGCTGTACGGCTCGTAAGTATGACAAGCGCCGCCTTGGACAGAGCTAATCGATGAGACGTGTAGCAGGTTACGATCTGCAACGAACATGAATGTTCATGGAATTACTGATATACATACAAATCTAGAAGATAAAGAAAAGAATAAGTTACGAGGCTGTCGATGCCATAATATACCAGAGAACAATAAGAAGACGATAAAATTAGTTCTAACAGCTCTTCGGTTCAACGTCCGCTTGACCTCCGCGTCGTCCCGCGACGTTGACTAGTGCCTGTACCCCTGCGACTTGGGCCGGAAGATCTTCGCGACTGTCCTGAGCGAGATGACTGTCCAACAAGACGATGGCTGCCACTACTATGTTGGCGTAAGCTTGGTCGAGTAGAGCTCCGACTGGCGCCAGAACTCTTCCGTTTGGGCTTTCTTCTCGAGCCAAAGAATGAGAAAACACCTCCAGATTTTTGTGCGTTTCTTCTATCCCTGTTTTGCTTTGCCTCTTTCATTTCCCGCATTCCCTGGAATAGAAATAAACAAGTTGCAGAAGAATCGTGGCGCATGTTACACACCTGACTTCGTAAACTCTCGTTTCCACTAAGCGTTCCTCGCATCTTTGCCAACCTACAATTTTGATATTGTCAGGACTGGAGAAAAAGGGATAACTCTGGTTAGATACCATCCGTGCATCGTAGAAGCTATTGGACGGCGTCGTCTAGACCCATCTCGGTGGAACTAAAGGCTCATCGTCAGTAAAGTAAATCGCCAACGAATAAAAGGAGTTTTACGCACATCGGATGCCCATTCGATCTTCATGACTTTGAAGGCGGCGATAAAAAGTAACAAAGCATAACCTGCTCAGCTTCTATAATAAGGGTTTACAAGCCATCAAGCAACGTTGCATCATGGCTGAGTTTTGAATTGACCAGCCGGTCCACTTGCCACAAGTGACAGATTGCAGACCAGAGGCCACACATTGTTGACCACGCAAAACCAGCGTGTCGAGAGTCCCGCGAGTAGGGCGTTCTTTACTAATCACTGCACTAATCAGTATTACAGTAACTGATTGGCGCTATGTACGCGTAGCACCGCGCCCATCCTTGACACTCTAATTCTCCTTTAGATTACAAAGATCTGCCGCTGAAACGTGGAAAGCGTCCCCGAAGACCTGTTGTTGCCGTGTGCATTGGAGCGGGTCATTCATTCCAGCTCATTCCAGTTCACACTTGAAAAAAAATACTGGTCAGTCGTGGCGCTCTCGTCGGTGAAAGCACTTAGGCGGTCTTTGCTGAAAGAAGGTACCCTTGTTCTCTTACTTTATTGCACTTCAACTACTGCGCGCGCATTGATAAGACCCTTTACACACACCAGAGTATGGTGTAAACCAAATGTATTCACGCAAACACAGGATCCTCTCTAGGTCTTGCTTCAAGTTTTCCAAGTTTGTGAACGCTCCTCGACAATATCCATGTGCAATTCCGAGCTGCATTCGAACAGACGGGGAATAGTCTTCAATTTCTCGACATTTCAGGCGCATACCATTGGAAGAACATCGACGTACGCCAAACGTACGCGCATATCAGGTCTATGCTTGCCCTTCTAAATTGGGGTGATAGACGCCAGAGACGAGCCATGTGTACACATAGTACCGCATTCCGCACTTAAAGTAAACACTGGAAGGTTCTGGTTGTGTCGAAACCGGGTTGAACTGCAGTAACCGGAAAACAAATGGG